GCTAGCCTGGCACTGGAGGCAGACATTACCATTATTGACATTGCCATCAGGAAGGGAAATTAAGAGCCATATGGAAATATGGCTGTTCTGTTGCTGGTATGTGAGTGGGAGCATTAGCAGTAGCTGAGCTGGCTTTAGACAGTTCTGCACTCTGGTCAGTTGATGTATTTTAATTGCTCTGTGTGGTATGGATCCTCTTGTACACAGTAGACTTTTGGAACTGAGAATCGGTGAAGCTGTCTTCTAGGTGAATTTGCTGGTATATTTTGGAAATGTATTTATCTGCAAGGTTCCTAATAGCTAAGTACCCCTTTTTAATGCATCTATCCTCTTAGTGCATCTAAAGGACAGGGAAGGATGCCTATCACAAATTACAAATGAGATTTTGTAGTGTGCTCCTTCAAGTCCCCAGATCCAATGTTTGTGTCTCACTGGTGCTCACAAAAAAACAGCTGCTGAAATTCAGATCTCTTCCTTTCTGGATAAGGTCAAAGGGTTCGTTCTCTCTTCTGTCTGCCCATGGCCCAAAAGCATACTTAGCTATTTTATTCAGAACAGCTTCATGAAGAGGAGGTGAAAGTAACTCAAAACCAGAATAGCTAACAACTTAGCAGTTAGAAAGCTGCTTGGCATGTGGGACAGGATTCACTGCTCCTTTGGCACAAGAAACTGTTGAAATGGATCCCTCGTCCTCCCATACTGGTGCATAAAGAGGTGATGCTGCAAACACTGTATTGCATGGGATGTGATGCGATTAAGACCTTCCAAATGAGAGGAATAATGCTCAACATCATTCAGGAAATCTGTGGCAGAATTAAAAACAAAATTAAACAAACCCAAAGTTTTCCCAATTCTCAAATGAATGCCGTCCATACTGCGCTGTCTCACTTTTCCTCTCTTACTATTGCCTTTCTGCTGCTTGTGAAATCTCTGACTTTTTCTGTATTCTTAGGCTGTGGCTGAGGAAGGTGTGAGTGTGCTTGTTCACTGCTCTGATGGCTGGGATAGAACAGCCCAGGTTTGCTCTGTAGCAAGCCTTCTGTTGGACCCATATTACAGAACTATGAAGGGATTCATGGTAAGCAGGTTCTCTATCACATAGTCAATGAAAATATTATGGCATCATTTTAGAGAATGTTGAGTGTCTTTTTTTTTTTTTTTCTGATGGAAAATCAACTTTCCCTATATTTTTTTTTCTCCTTAAGTATAAAGGTTTTTATCTGTCCAAGTCTCCTCATTTCTTTATGAAATGCTATCAAAGGTGTGGAGCAGTTGGGTATCCATCTTTTTTTTTTTCATAATCTCAACCAAGAAACTTTCTTGCGGCCCAAGGGGCTTTTTGGTGCAAGCATGAGTTGGTGTTTATTTTCAGGAATAAGTGAAGTTATGAGTGTCAGAAGTGTGTGATCCCCAGACACTAGATTGCAATGAGCAAGCATGTTGGAAGATCTGATCCTTCACCAAGCACACCAGCACTACTGAGGCATCTAGAAATGCCTATCAAGTTAATGGGCACACATTAAGATGAGGTTTAAAACATAGTTAGGTTCTGGTTTAGAAAATGATGAAGCAACCTAATTTATGTTGAAATACTGTCATCCTACTTGCAATAATCAAAAATGCTACTTTCTTCTCAGTTGGCAGTGGTGCTCAATGCTCATCACTTTCCTGCTTGCTCTAAATTTTTTCTGGGATTCCGATACTGCTTGCTTATATCATATCTTGTTCATCACTTTTCTGTTTTTTCTAAAAAATACCTGGGATTCCAATACTGCTTGTTCTACCTGCTTCAATAGGTCAGCTCTGCTCCACTACACTGAATGCAATATTCTCATTTCAGGTTTTAATTGAAAAAGATTGGATTTCCTTTGGTCACAAATTTAACCACAGGTAAGGCTGTGCTTAAGTTTTTCTCTATATATATTTTATGTAGTCAGTATCCACTGCCATCCCAGTTTTACTTTACTTATTGTCTTTCAAAGCATATCAACAGAACACACCCTCAGGATATCACCACATCCATTTTTCCCTTCTATATAACTTAGCTGCCTGGAAAAATCAAAGTGAAATATTTTTGTATCTGCCTTTTCTTGCATATTCACTACAAGATTGCTGTGAGGAATACTGAGTGCTGGTCTTGCAATTGCTATGATGCATGTGAGAGAAAAAAAAATAGTATTTGGCTTGAAAATCCCCTTTGGAATCCAGCAGATCTTTCAGTAGTGCCAAGACTTCCCACCTAAGTCCCTGTTCAGGAGAGTGTACGTCTTCCAGGATAGTACTTTAATTTAAGCATGTCTTTGAGTTACCTAATATCTAAAATACACTTTTCTTATTATGCTTTGTTCCAATTAAAACAATAGAATTTGTTCAGAAACATCAGGTAAAGAAAAAGCAGAAAGTCATCTATCTGGACAAGTTATTTTGTGCATCCATAATATAAAGGCTATAACATAATGAGAATGTCTGAAGAGTATGTATAAACATGGATAAATATCCATATTTTCTCTATTTTCTTTCTTTTCCTTTAGTTTCTGTAAAAAGTGTAATTTTTGTATTGGAGCTTAACTACATGATATTGCTTGATTCAGATATAAATTTAATTTTAAATTTAAAATTCTTAAAAAAAAAAAAAAAAGCACACACACAAAACAAACAAACAACTTTTCAGTATAAGCACCACAACACTTGTGAAATTCCAGCAGGAATTACCACATTAAAAAATAATGCTGTCAGATGTCTAGTATTATCAGGTGATAGATACAATGAAATGTAATTACCGATGGCTGTACTCTGAGTTCCAGTACAGTATTGTTATGCTTGCTTTGATGCATAGTAACAGTAGAAGTGAAGGCTTTGATTTTAGATGTTGATAGATTTCCACTTTCCATTTTTCCCGAGCTTTACGACGCTAGACAAGCAAAATAATTAATTGAAAATGCTTCTCCCTATTAGGTAGACTTATAAAATATTTTTTATTTCTGTGTGTTCTGTATTTTCAGGTTCCTGTTCTTCAACGTACCCTACAGCAAGTGGTTCCAACAGACAGTTTTATAGTTAGAAAGTTTCGTGTTCACTTTACAGATAAAGTAGCTGGAAAGCTAAAGTAGTGGACAAAAAATTGTCCACTTTCTAAAAATGTCACCAAGAGAGGGCAGCTTTAAACTGTTTTCTGCCAAAGTTGTTCTGTTCCTCTCCTGCTCAGTCTTCTAGGTTTGGCAATGGTCTGACGCTGACACAGACTGTCTAAGATAGCTTGCTAAAGTCACTGCAGTCATTCTTCTGATGACTTCTGTTACTGTGGCATAACTGTGTATTAATAGCATTAAAACGTGGCTATGTAGCAGCCAGTTGTTAGTAGATGTGAAGCAACAAGACACCCACAAGGGGCTTCTGTTTCTATTTGATAAATTCTGCTTTCCTTCTACTCCATGAGCCTTGCATCATTTTTGTAAGTAAAAACACACTAGTGGTTGAGATTTTAGAAATGAATACAGTTTGTGCGCTGAAAGTGTGAGGGCTTTGTTTTCATTAATTCAGGAGTCATCATTTCAGTTTTCCTAGCGGATTTCAGGTTATAACTGAATGTATCTTGTCCTGTTTTAGGTACGGCAATTTAGATGGAGATCCAAAAGAGATATCCCCTGTTATTGACCAGTTCATTGAATGTGTCTGGCAGTTAATGGAACAATTTCCTTGTGCCTTTGAATTCAATGAGAGATTCCTGATCCACATACAGCACCATATCTATTCTTGCCAGTTCGGTAATTTCCTGTGTAACAGCCAGAAGGAGAGACGAGAGCTGAAGTATGAAAGCCTTTTCTTTAGAAGCATGTTTATGTTGGGGTCTGTGGGTGTGTTGCTGTGTTTAAGACTCCAGGGTTTCCCAGCCCAGGTGAATGTGCTTCCACAAGGCACAAGGTGCAGCATAGCATTCCTGGCTGTCATCTTCTGGTGACACAGATTAATACCAAAAATGTTGATCCTCTGCAATGTGGCTCTGCTGTGAGTATAATCCACTGTGTGCATGACAGGGATTAGTGAGAACGGTTGAGAGCATTAGACCTTTAGCCACGTGGCCCTAGCCTTATTGCAGCATTAACAACATATGAGGCAAGCTTTAAAAAAAAAAGATGATATTAATGAAAATTAAGTTCTCAGTTTAAGAGTCACTGCTCTTCTGTGTTCTAACCTGTCTTTAGATCTTATGTTCTTCCCAGACACCTCTAGTCCTGTCCTCTGGGATACTTACTTACGAACGGCCTTTTAGTCTGGTACCCCTCCTGAGGACTGAGTCACCAAACTGTCCTGCTGTTTAGCTCCAAAGCAATTATGCATTAATCTACCTGTCCTCAGTTCCAAACAGAGCCAACATTATCACTCGTGGCAGAGCTGATGTTTGTTATCTGCTGTACAGGGCCCTGGGTCCTAGGTTACCTCATGGTACCCCCTGCTTTTCTCATGCATCATGATCATGACAGCAATAGTATTGTGAGGGACATGGCAGTCGTTGCTTGCTGCTGCTGTTTGGACCCTTTCACTGCTCAAATGCAGAGCATCTGATATACCTTCATCATATCCCAAGCTATAACCGCAGGAGAAATCTCAGCTCACTTGTGTAGGCATCCTTTAAGTGCAGCAATAGGTCTGAGAGCCAATTTTATGGAGGGGATCCTCTCCATCTCTCAAACCTTTGGGACCAAATACCCCCAAATTCTCATGCTAACAAATAAATTCTAGCTGATACTGCTAGGGCAAACCATCCCAAAGCATCTTACTGTCAATCACAGTTTACATGTGACCACAGACTCCACCATTATATGATTCAGATGTATGATTATGTGATTCAGACCAAGAACACACAACCTGGTCAAGCCCTGCACCTGCTGTGACTCACTCCACATCAGCCACAGAAAAAAAGTGACCCATCACTGGAGTCTTAAAAAGAAGCTTAAAATCACTTCACCTCACAGAAGCAAGATCCTGGCATTTAAAGCAGGTTTTTTTTTTTTTTTTTTTTTTAACAATCTCAATTATTTTATACAGTACCTGTTGTTGCCAGCTTTCAGAATTACAAGCCCTCCAATGGCTGAATTTAACTCAGAGTAGAGAGAACAAGTGACTACGCAGCTTCTGTAGCCAGGCAATGTTCATATACGTGTCAGGCTTCTGCCTGTGTACTGATAACAAGCATGTGTACTTGCATAACAAGCATGGGTTACGAATGCCTCGAGTTTCACCAAGGCCACAAAGGGGTTGCAGAGCAGTGGGGCAGGAAAGAAAGCACCAAGCTGTCCGTCACCCTTCCATGCATACTGCGGGGGAAGGTTCATGGGGCTTTTCTAGGACTTCTACAGAGGAAACCTAAAATGAACCCAGTTCTCTACATTCTCTCTCCAGCTGCTCTGGCTTTATGGGGAACGGATTGGATTTTGCTGTTAATGACCAACAAAGGGATACATCTTATTCTGCTAAGGAAGTATAAAGTTGACTGTAAACAAGCAGAGCACTAGAATGTCTTACCCAAGCTTTATTGATACCTGAGTTGTGCTTGAGATGTTTATACATTTGACTCTATTTTTTCAGAATCCAAGAACGAACATATTCACTGTGGGCTCACTTGTGGAAAAATCGTGCAGATTACTTGAATCCTCTGTACCGATCAAACCACAGCCAAACTCAAAGGACCCTGTACCCACAGATGGCTCCATGCAACTTCTTGTACAAGTAGGTAATATCACTTGCTGCTGAGAAGCATTGGATGTGTTAGTACGTAAAAGAACATAATGCCTCTGTATTTATGTATTTATTGCTCCATAAGAGAACTTACAGAGAGTGAATTCAGGTTCAGATGCAATGAGTTCATTCCTTGCATGCTCACAGTCAGCCAACACCTCTGCAGCAGTCCACAGCAGAGTATTAGTCTGAAAAGAAGCTTAGAAAAGAATCTGAAAAGATTAGAGCTATATTGACAGCGGTGTGTCCTAATTTCATGGTTACTCACTTCTTCCACTGAGAAATGGCTCTTTCAGTTCTGTTTTCATCAATGTTTTATAAATTTAAATTTCCTTAAACTTCTTCCATTCAAGATTTTAGAATGATGATTTGATATGGTTTAATTGCTAAACTGAGTGTTCAGTAAAACAAAATGCAGACTTTATCTGTTATTGTTGTTATACCTTAAAGTATACATGATGAATTCTACTTTTTTTTTTTTTTCCAAAATTGAACTAAACCTAATGAGAATTGTTGGTATTGACATTCTGACTTGAGTAATTAATTGCGCCATTAATTTTAATAACCTTAAGGAGAACTTGATTAGAAATACATGAAAACTGTGACGTAAGTAAAATCAACTAATTTGCTTTCTAACTGCAACTAAAAGCACCTGCTAAAAAGTCAGTAAGTATCCTAGATTACAGAAACTGAATTTTCTCACGTCTACTGTTCCAGGCCATATCCACGTTAAAAGAGTTTAAAAATAGACATTAATCATATTCTTTGGCATAGTGGGATTTGTAAAAGAAATACCAATACTCCATTAGAAAAGCAATCCAGCTGATTTTAATTGAATTACTTGGGTGTGTAAAGATTTCAAAGCTATCAGACCGTAAACTTAAGGGGGAATGTGACTTAAATAGTATTGGGGTAGGAATAATAGCTGCTTGGCTGGACAGGTGCATCTGAGGGCAAGTCTCTCAGTTACTTAACCTGTCTGGTGAGCTACTTACATACTCAAAGTCAGGTTCTGGCCATGTGTTGTGTGGAAAACAGGAAAGAAGAATGCTAGAGTAAGCTACGGACTTACTTACAGTTTGAATCCTTTTCTCCTGAAGATGAAAAATCAACTCAACTGTTTAGCTATGAGTTTGTCAGGTAATTCCATAGAGCAGGAAGGTAACTAGCCAGCGTGTATGCTTCATGCAATTTCCGTAGGCTGGTGTTTGCCTTTCCTTTTGCCACGGATTGCTATTTTAAATCAATTGCAATTCAGTGTACAGCAACTTGGTATCACTAGCAGAGGTTTCTCCATTAGAACAACATGTAAGTCCCCAGTACTGGAAAGCACTTGAGTATACCTCCAGCTATTTAATTATTGTTCTTTCTTTCCCAGCTTGCTTGTTTTCTTAAGCATTCTGTTTACTTGAGAGGTATAAGCATATATTTATGCAGCAACTGAAATGCCATAATTATTTTAGAGAAAAAAAAATCATGTCGTTTAAAATTTCAGTTTAAATTTTAAGAGATCAAGACAGTATACTGTTTTTTACCCTTTGTTTTTAAGCCTTCTTCACAGGGAAAAAAATAGCAAATTGCTAATTAGCTGCCCCTCACTCCCCTACCCCAGACAAAAATAAGCATACGGAATTCCAAAACTGGCTTAGTGGGAAGCTAAATAATGGTTAACAACTAGGATTATGAAAAACTGTCGTAACCATGGCTACGGTTAGGTAGGTACCTTTGCTCTACAGCACAGACAGTGTAGAACAAGAAAATACTGGAGCAAAAGTTTGAATTAGTCTTAGAGGATACCTGTTCTTTTGATAAGCTATATCACTTCTAACAGTTAATGTCCTGAATTGCTGAAAACCCTAATCAGTGAACCAGCCAGAGCCATCTGATCCAAGATATTCCTGTTTCTTTCTGTTGTGTATGAGAAGTGGTTCAAGCTGCGCATGTCCACAGATTTGCATCTTCAGGACAGACCCAATGTAAATGAACTGTAATGAACCACTGCTATGGTGCTTAGGGACAAGGTTTAGTGGCAGACTTGGTGGTGCTAGATTAACAGTTGGACTTGGTGATCTTAGAGAGCTTTTCCAACTTAAATGAATATAAATCTTACCAAACAGCTAATGAATGTATGGAGCGTGTACGCACTCCAGTGATGGATCTAAAAAAGGCTGAAAAAATGCACATATTTAAGTCTTCTGATACCGTTTTGCCAAATGAGAAAATTGCTGACCTTCCCCTCAATTCCAGGTTCTGGAGTGGTATGTACAATCGCTTTGAAAAGGGGCTGCATCCTCGACAGTCAGTTACTGATTATCTGATGGCAGTGAAGGAAGAGACTCAGCAGCTGGAAGAAGAGCTGGAAGTCTTAGGAGAGGTAATAAACACTTGATTGGTATGTCCCAGACTCGAGCTGATGGCAAATGAAACCCAGTACGTGACAGAATCCCCTACACAATACATCCTCTTCTGGCATAAGGATGTCCCTGTTCTCCCATAAATCACGGGGATTTTGACATTCTTTGCTTTTGACATTCTGAGGCACAAAGGTAGACCTCTCTCTTTAAGGTGAGAATTTCATCTGTGATAGTGCATCCATACTATTTCTGAAAGAAAACTTATATCCTTCTGTAATTCAGTTCAGCATCAGTTTGTGACAGACTTGTGCATGTCTGATACTCCATAAACAGAAAAAAAGTTTAAAGGGTGCCCCTTGGGTTGTGCTCTAAATTATTTACTTTTCAAAAGGCAAAGATACTTAAAGGGACCACTGGGTGCTAAATGGGTGTATGTAACATATACTGTTTTCTTGATTTCAGAGGCTGGCCAATCTTCAGAAAATGCAACTAAATGGTAATAAAATCCAGAGTAAGCAGCAAGACCGAAGCAAACAATTAGGGCTTTCTGCTTCCACCAACAGCTTAGCCAATACTCCCCAGGAGTATGGCAACGATCTGAAATCATTCCCGTCCCGGAGCCCTTCACAAGGGGATGAAGATTCAGCCTTGATTTTGACACAGGACAACCTGAAAAGCTCTGATCCTGACCTCTCAGCCAACAGTGATCAGGAGTCTGGTGTGGAGGACTTAAGCTGCAGGTCCCCCAGTGTGGGTGGCTGCTTGCCTAGCGAGGACAGTGGTAAGGATTCAGATGAAGCTGTATGTCTGGCAGTCTGAAACACCTTCTCAGCAGGAAAGGAGCTAGAGGAAGCCAAGTCCTTCATGGTCTAGAATGATGCATTTTCACCAGATGAAGAATGGGAATGGTCTGTGGCCTAAAGAAATAATCCAAAGAAAGGGAACCGTGCAATTGTGTAAGTAAAGATTAAGCAGAACAAGCCATGATTAGTTTTTAGACATAATGCTAATGAAAGGTAATCTCTGCTGTTATGAATATTTAATTTAAGCCAATGTGGTGTTTGTTTTCACTTTATCAATGCTGCACATAATTATTCCTTACTTTGTACATTTCCATATTTATTGTACAAAATAAGTTATTCTCCAAAGACATGAAATTCCAAAGTACTCTTACATATATGGACAAAGTTGAAGATCCACTTAGTGCTAGGCTACTGGTGAAGCAGTCAGAACTTATTTTTATAGCTTTTGTTGCCTTCAGATGTATTGTGAGCATCCTTTGTTTTTTCCATGAGAGGTATTACTTTTTGAATTTTAACAATTATTTATTTTGCATATTCTCCTACTAGAATCCTTTAAGGCACTGTAAACCTAACAAATGAATACGCTTGCTTAGGGAACAAATGCAGCTTTGATACTACAGAAGGATTCCTTAGTAAGAAGCACGTGAATGCATCCCATTTGTACTCAACTCTCAACCAGTGTTGAAAGTTCAGTAGTTTCTGTGAACGAAACTTCAAGGACTATAACAATACTTAACACAATCTTTGTGGTAAAACATCCCTTTAAAATGAAAGATGTTAGGCTGCATACTACAGCCTCTGTCTTTTGTTCTCAAACGTTATTTATAGTTTACTCTTGTTCAAAAATGCCTAAGTAAGATAGAGAGGTAAAGTTTTACACATAATAAAAATCCAGGCTCTTCAGCCTATGTTGACTCCTACTTGTCAGTCTTATTTCAGTGGGAGTGAGGTATGTGCATAGTCCAAAATCACTTATAAAAGTCACCTACAAGTGTTGCTCCAAATCCAGAATTAGCAGATGGTTATGCCCATAAAGGAATTATTATATTTCTTCCAAATTTTATTGTTCAGACTAAACTAAAAGTTGCTTTTTTATCTGCACACAAAATTTCCCTTATAGCATTTGCCAACCTGAGCATAGCAATGCTAATTTAAGACTGATTCAAAGAATCATTTTCTAGTATTAAATATGGAGTAGAACAACACAATAGAAAACTCAGTCTTAAGTTTGGTTTAATAATTTTCATTTTTTATCAGTAGAAGCAATAGCTTTCATAATTATAGATATGAAAATAAACCACTCAAAAATGTTTAAAACTTGCGATGTTTTGAAACTCACTAAAAGGCTTCCAGATGAAGCCTCCTCCTCTTCCCCCATGCCCCAATTAAAGCAAATTAGTTAAATATATAATTCATGTCTGCTTTTAACTCCTTGGAGATAATGATGTAGCATTGAGTTCTAGTAAAGCAAAACATGGTAGTGATGTAAGTTTACTTTGATGGCACTTCCTACTACTCCTTCAAGTACAGATTTACAGGCAGAATTAAATTATATAAATATACCTCAATTTAGAAGCTTTAGATTTTATTCTCAGCCTGCTTTTGTGGAATGGCTCTTCATTTTGTTCTAAGAACTTGTTATTGAGTAGGTAAACTTCAGTATGATTACTATCCTGATTAATATCCTCTTAAGAGAGCTGTTGTCTTTGAAGAAAAAACTTAATTCTTAACAAGATAGACCTTATTGTTATACTGGAAAGGCCAGATTCTCAGTTTGATAAATCCCTGTTGCTCAAGTAAAAATAGGGCTATGATAACTTACCTTCTGCTGAGGATCCAGCCTTCTGGTTTTTAATCTTTATGGCTTTTTAATGAATGAAAATCCTGATTTTAATTGTACTTTTAAAAATGTTTCATATTTTGAACATACCCTGTAAAATTTATGGTATTAGAGGAGATTTTGAATGGGTTTTCTCAAAGTAAAGAAATACACTGTAAAGTCAGCAATGAAACAAAACATACAGCTATCTTCCTAAAAATGAGTTTGAGACCGGGCAATACCATTGTGCATCTTTAAAATGTAAAACTGTATTGTGGTATTGCACCTTATAAAACAGGTTTAGAAACAGATGCAGAACAGGAATATAGGCATACTCAAAGCACTGTCCTCATGGAGCTAATGCAAGTTCTTAGTTAACATAATAACATTTTAAATGAAGTCTTTGCTTAGCAGCCCTCTCTGATGTGTCTGCGTCCTTCAAATTCTGCATTATTTACTATTGTTTTCATCGTTGTAATGTATGTATTTGTGACATTATTAGCCTGCTGAGAAATGCTTCCAAATAAATACTTAAGGTCACATACTGTTACGTTATTTCATAATGCTGAATGAAACAAAGGTTTGCTTTCCCAGTTCTTGTAATGCAGTTCTTCAGTTACTCAAGACGCATTTTGTCACTGAGGTCAAGGGATTATTTCATCTTTCCTAGTTTCATACTTGGGTTCATTACTTTAAACTGTGGAGAAACCTACAGCTGAAAACAGCTGCTGTCAGTTGACTTGAGTTCATTATATAGGAGTCTGTTACATCCCTGTATTTCTTCTATGCAAAACAAAAAGGATGAGCAAACCACACTATGAACTACCTTAATTCCTTGGAGCCTTGTAGGGATCTTCCCTCTGCTGCAAATCCTTGCAACTCTGGCATGAGTCCACTGTAATTTAAAATAGGACACACATGAGCATAACAAACTGCTGGGAAGAAGGGATTAGAAGAGTATTAGAGGTTTCTGCAGTGTAACTTTAGCCGCAGAACAGTTCAGGCTGTTCTTTAGTATGAAAATGTGTATCTAGAGGACACTTAGGGTAATGAGATCAAACAGTGGAAGTTTTTTCTACACATGATCTCCAGCTGAAGAACAGACAAAATGTATTCATCAACTGCTTTTAGTAGTAGCTCTATACACAATATAGACAAAGGTAGTAAATTGGATTCTGAAAAGTCGAGAAGTAAGATGAAATAAGTTGGAGGGGACAGCTGAGATTGAACAGTATCATTGCAAGCAAGGAAGAAAAAATAACAGAAAGATGGAGGCAGGGAGTAAAGTTCTCTGTAAAATGACTGGGAGGGGAACCACATACTTCATACTACAAACACATACCCCTTGAAGATAGGGGGCAAGTCAGAACACAAGTTCGCGTAGCATAAAAAAGTGTTTGATGACAGAAATCGGTAACAATTAAAATCCAGCAATAACAAAGAGGTAATGTGTACAATGAAGATAAGGATTTTATTACAAGCTAACTTGATGCTTAATTAAGGACATTGCCCTGATCTGCACACAGAATCCTCACGTTTATCACTATCTTAGCCAAGGCAATGGGATGATTTTCCAGCTGAAGCTCAAGCACAGCTTTCGCATTGGCTGGTCACTGTTCCATGCTATAGTGCAGAGATAGGTAAACACTACAGGGACTGAAAAACAGTGACAGGTAAGTTTCTGACAATTTCTTTGTGAAAGGAGGAACATGTGGAACAGAAAGTAAGTTGAAAGTAGGTCAATTTATACAGTATTAAGACTAATGAAATACCTACCAAAGTTCTAGAGGCCAGGAGCACAGGAAAGTGGGAATTCAGACACCAGAAACATTGCCAGAGAATGGGGAGATGGGAAGGAATATTAAAATAAGCATTCAACCTTATTTACATGATTTAAATTGCCAGTAAAACACAAGGAGACAGAAAATCAAACTATTTTACATCTTAAAATTTAGCGGTCTTCTAATATAGATTGTTCTGTAAAAGAAGCTAATGAACCTTTACTGGTTCACTAGAATCAATAAATGAATTCAGTCAAGGACCTGTTTTTAAAAGTCTACTGGTTGTCAAGCTTATTCAGAATAATTTATTGTTTCTGATGATTAATTTAGTCATTTTCTCACTTTGTTAAAGTATTCCCTTATTATTGGTACTGTACATAGCAATAAGCTACAAAGAACGACAGTAAAGTTGATTTCTGTAGCTGTCTGACCAAACTACAGCATTTACAAAAGCAGTAGCCAGAGCTGCAGTGTGGGTTTCCAAAACCCATTTC